TGTGCCCACTGGAATTTTATTATCTGTCTTAGGGCTTCATAATAAATTCATCCATCATCAGTACTCACTTGTCCATGCAGGGTCGCAGGGGGCTGATGCCTATCTCGAGAAATGATCAGGTAAACAGGTGGGGTACACCCTGGACAGGTCAACACAGAGAAACACAAGACAAACAACCATGCATGCACGCACTCACACCTGACAGTAATGTTTCAGGACTGTAGGAGGAAGCACCCGGACAGATCCCACGCACGCAGAGGGACAATATTCAAACTCCATGCAGAAAGACTCCAGCTCCGGATGCAAACCCAGAGCCTCCTTGCTGCAAGGCAAAGAGCTAACCACTGCACCATTGTGCAGCCCCTTTACAATGCATCTCAAATACATTTTCATTGTATTATCTATCGGCAATATCATTAGTAGAAATAACTGCTTGATTAGCAGTGATGGTTAAATGTTTGCTTTGTTTCTTCCTGTTTGATAATCTTTAGGAGACAAAATTACAACTTTGTGATGAGCGGAGTGACTCAGACCTATGGGCACCCATGCATATTGCACACTTGTTTGTTTAGGGCAACATTCCACTATGCCTTGTGATGGTTTGTCTCAACTGATTATTAGCTCATGTATAGTGCGCTATTGTATGCTTTTTTTACGATAGGGTTAAACTTTCTTTCTTTAAACTGAGGTTGTTCAAACTGTTGTCTGAGTTTATAAACTTTGCACAAAACCACATTTTTAAATATTTAAACTGTTTAATGTGCAGAACTTCACAATTTTTAGATATTATGTTTTTTTCAATGTACACCGTTTTTTTAACTGTACAGTATGTAAAAACAAAAAATGGTAGAAAAAACGTTTCTGTGGTGAAAGTTTCTGGTCCGAATGGATCGGAGCCTCCTGCTAGATAGGAGCGACTCAAAAAGACTTTGTCCAGGGTGAGAGTCAGCTGTGATCTGAACTGCACGACCCAATGTCCTAGAGGTGTACAGGTCCCATAAAGAAGGACGTTTGCAGCCAATGACCTTCTCAGCAGAGCGTATGACACACTGCAGTCTCCTTTTGTCCCTGGTGGTAGCTCCAGCATCCCACACGGTGATTGAAGAAGTGAAGATGAACTCGTTTGCGGTAAAGAACTGCCTCATGGACTGTACTGGCAGGTTGAATTTCTTCAGTTGCCTTAGAGAATATGCTCTGCTGGGCCTTTATTATGATGGAGGTGATGGTAGGCTCCCACTTGAAGTCTTGGGTGATGGTGATGCTGTTTGCTTCCTAAAGTCCAAAACAACTTCCGCTGTCTTCTGGGTGTTTAGCACCAGGTTGTTGTGGCTGCAACAGGACACCAGCCATTCAACATCCATTCTATAGGCAGACTCATCCCCATCCGAGAGATGAGTCCATTGATGAGAAAGAAAGAAAGAAAGAAAGAAAGAAAGAAAGAAAGAAAGAAAGAAAGAAAGAAAGAAAGAAAGAAAGAAAGAAAGAAAGAAAGAAAGAAAGAAAGAAAGAAAGAAAGAAAGAAAGAAAGAAAGAAAAACTTTTGAAAGCTGATAAATTTCAAAGTGTGTGACTGGCATGGTCAAAACACACGTAATTATTTTTTCATTTAAATTGCAGTACAACATATGTGCGATCCAGGGCGTAAGGCAAAGTGGATTAGAAAATAGTAACGTGACCATATTTCCATTTCCAAAAAGAAGGACAGAAGGTCTGTGCCTACCGTTGACATCACACTACGGCAACGCCACACAAACCACGTTGGGACCCTTTTTTTCAGGTGAAGAACTAAAATTTAAATCAGATTCTGCCAACAAAAAGGCTCTAAAGCTATTCATATGTAAATATTCTGCATATTTATTGCAAACTCACATCATCGGTAAGCTTCCTAAACACAGATTATTAAGGATGCTTGTTTCAGCTGTGAAATTAGACGACAGGATCAATGAAAAAAAAAGTTTGTCATGGACTCCATGGAAACTTCCAGAGAATCCACAAATCCCCCCATAACTCGATCCCTGCTCCTGGATGAAAAACCGGACATTTTGATCAGTGTAGGTATTCTGCCCTCACTGGACGATAAAGCTGGGTTCTAGCTTGGCAGATAGCTTAACAGATCCACGATAAACATCCAGGAGTCAGCAGGGACTTTTTAGATGTTTACTGTAGAAGGCACTGTAAAACTGCAGAAAAACAATAAATGAATAATGTTACATTTGTGATGTATTCATATGTATTTTATATTAATAAACACTTAATAATGAACTTTCATGTACTTTATGTGTAAACCATAATGATATAATAAAACAGTCACAAGTTTTTTTTCCCAAGAACCTATCGGTTAATTCAATGCTAAGAATATATGTAAAATCCCATAGACGGGGAAACGCATTAGCATCGCGGCCATTTTTAGTAGAGATAAAAACTTCCTCACACAAGATTCTCAACTGTTACATAAAACTATAATAAATAACGCTCAACAGAACAAACATATATGACTTACAGGTTTGTGCCATTTCAGGCTTAGCAAGAAAAGATGAACCAATGTGCAGAAAATAACAGTTAGCTTAACGGTCGTCTCCAGTTGAGAATAACTATGGCAAGTCTGCCGGTACAAATTACGTATGCACGCACACACAGAGCTAAATTTACATGTATGCCTTAAAGGGGCTGCCCAGTAGGAACCCCCCCCCCCCCCCCCCCCTCCCAACCTATCTATGACATAGATAGCTTCTTTTACTCCGCTCCCCATCTATCTTCTCTGTCCAGAATGTGGAGTTTGTGATCTTCAAAGGTGTGTCCCTTGTTCTTCAGGTGAAGGTGGACTGCAGAGTTTTGACCTGAAAAGGTGGCTTTCCTGTGTTTTGCTATGTTCTTGTGTAATTGTTGTTTAGTTTCTCTAATGTAAACATCTGGACAGTGCTCCTTCATTGGACTGCATAAACAACGCCACTGAGCTTTTTTTTGTGTGTGTGTTTTGTCTTTTGGATGGACCAGTTTCTGTCTGAGGGTGTTGTTGGGTTTAAAGTTTACTGGGATGTTGTGTTTGGAGAAGATTCTTCTAATGAGCCATTCCCATCTGTACCAGGTCGGCCCAGGCCGTGTAGCCCCAGTCGGCCCCAGCCTGGCCCGGTTGATTCCACACATCCTTGCCTTAAGCCCATGTGGGCTGATTCTACCCACCAATCAGAGGCTTGCTCTAATGGAAGGTGTGAATTTGCTGTCAGCAGTGAGTGTGTTGGCCCTGATCGGCCTGAAGCAGACCCCCTTGAGAAGAGGGCTGAGAATGAGCCTTGGTTGGCCCGGAAAAATACCAGGCCACCCAGATATGTAAACAACCTACGCTACCCGGCCCGGGCCGACCCGGTACAGATGGGAATGGCCCATAAGTTTATCTGAGACTCCTGCCACGTATGTGATGATGGTGCCTTTGTGTAAAGGATGTTGTTGTTAGGTTGGTAGCAGAGCTCTCATGTTTAGTGGTAAGTTCAGTGAGATCATGGAATGGGATCAAGAATTTTCTATTGACAGAAAAATGATCTCAGCTAACATAGCTGTAGATCACAGTGGATACGTCTCTGTGGTTGCATTTATTTTACATTTATTTTACTACTTCTTACTAGAGCTGTCTTTAGTAGATGCAAAATATATTTGGCTGTACACCCGTGCAATAGCAATAAATTATCTTCATTCCTGTTAAATGCACTTACTGAAGGAGTGACCTTTTCAGGCTAAAATAACAAAATGACAAATACAGACAGAAGGACAACTTATTTCTTCTTTTGTAATGCATTGCATCACCACCTGGTATCAGAACAGGACTCAGTATTGGAAGATAATCAAAAATCAAACAACTTGGACTCGGATCAGGGGCAAAAATGTGGTTTAAACATCTCTAGATATAAGTCCGCTTTAAAAACTAAAACTATTATTTATGAACTAACATTAACACTAATGACACTAATTGATATTTTTTATTATGTTGTTTGAAGCCAAGGGTCTCATTATCTGGATTTTCTAACTTGTTGGATTGCTCTATAAGTGCCCCCTTTTTTTTATTTGAGCACCCGCCCCGTCAAAGGTCTCTGCACGGCCCTGATGGTCACCTTGGTTTTTAGCCCCATTGACTTGCAATCATTTTTTGCAACAACATGGTCCATAGGGAGCCCAAGTCTCCTACCCTTCCGGCTGGCTCATGGGTCCCCGGAAGAACGAAAAAAATGAATGCAAGTCAACAGGGCTATCAACTGCAATTATCAGTATATTTTGTTTACTGTGCATTTAAAATGGTGAGGAGTGTTAATATATGAAGTATGCACAATTAAAGATGTACTGTTAACACTTTTTCTAGTATTAAGTCTTTGGCTTAAATGTTACAGCCTTAAAGCGTCTAACAGAGAAATTATTTACAATTAGAACTGTTGAACTTCATTTGTGTGCCTAAAACACTTGAATATGTAATGTGTGCGAATGTAAAATCATCTTGTTGGAAGTGTTTTATTAGTTTGGTTTTTCAATTCTTTAATCAATGCCTTTTGCCTCAACTGAAAAACCATTACAACCATCTTTAATATTGCTAACAATAAGACAGCTCGATTATGGTGCAGCCCCCCACCCCCTCCCCAAAAAAGGTCTTTCTAGCTGTTTTCATATCAGCAACAAGATGCATAGCAAGCGGGTAACAGTTTCAGGCTGAGAGGGTTATTCTTCTGTTTTTAGATCAACATTCACTGTGGATTGTACAGCCCCAGATCTGTCAGGTTTTCCCGATTCGTTACTCGTTTCCGTTTAGGGCGGTCCCATATGAAAACTTATAGTCGCTTTGTATAATCCTGTATAAAAAAATATAACTTGTATTTATTTTAATAAAGATTTGAATCAAATAATCAATCAACTATATTAATAGTTAATAGTAATACATTTTTGTTTTTGTATTTAAACGAGTTTTCAACTGAGAGTTTTTTTGGGCCTTTTTTTATACAGGCTTATCTACGAACACCCTTTTACCCTGAGTTTCAGTGTGACCTCTACTGCAGTTGAAAATACTTGGAAGCGGAGGTTGAATCCATTCAATTTTCTGACGATGTAGCCCCTCTTTATACATATACAGGGACAGCTTTTGCAAGGAACACGTTCGTTTTGTGCACAACAATCCCACGAAGGGCGGGGGTGGTCCTCGTCGCTCTGTTTCCGCGTAGGGGTGTTGTGTGTTGCTGGGGTAGAATCCGGTTTAGCAGCACTGCATCAACATGGTGAGTGATAAAGAGAGTGCCTGTGTTGTTCCCTTTAGCACAACAAACTGTCAGATTTACGATTGAAATTTGATAATCTATGTTAATTTAAGCCTGTTGTAATTAATAAAAACGGATGTACGATGGCTTTGGCGAATAGCATGTAGCATGTGGTGATTGAAGTGTAGCAGGTGATTGACAAGGATGAGACGTAAGAGTGGGGCAAATAGAGGGATTGCTGGATAAATGCACAGAAACCCAATATATAATGTTATCCAGGAGCTCTGGGAAAACAACTCAGCAGTCTATGGATAAATTAGCAACACAAGCTTTACAGAAAGACCCCATTGATTTAGAAGTTCTTCTAAGCAGATCTGAGATCTATTATATAGGGAGAAGTGATAAGAGCATTGCAAAGACCCGTTTCTTTCTGCTGCTTTTTACACACATCGTGTCCATATATTTAAGATATGTCACCCATCAACAAGTTCCTGTAGATATTCTATGAATATTAAGCTTATGTTTAATGTTGGACCACTGTTGATTTGTTCCACATTGTTTTATAATATCAGCCAGAGTTGCAACAAATGATTATTTATTTTTAGTTAACTAAAAGGTCAGTTTCTTCTTTTTTTATTTTATTTGGGTCATCAGTGATTATTTCAACCATTGCCTGCTTCCTGTGGGTGCACCTGGGCTCTATAGCACAGGTCTGACCTCACCTGCTCAAGTCTGTCTACCTGTGAATGTCACCCTGATTATAACTTTCACCAGCAAGTTAAATTGATGACCAGTGAAACAAATGGTGTTGGTTTTTCAGTTTTTATTCTGTGGTTTTGTTTTTTTTTTTTCCCTCAAGAAGCTTTACCCCTGTCAATGTTGATATGTTTTGTACAAAGGTTAGTTTTGAATCCAAACAATATGCTATTGCTTCAGGGCATGTTTAGGCTTCAGATCAATGATGTAGAGAGCTCTGTAACCAGAAGGGACTAGTTTTTTATTCATTTATTTTTTTGTTTTGACCTTTATTCTTGTTTTTATTATAACAGTTTGTAACCTAAATTTTACCTAGATCAGTTGCTTTAAGAACTCAGTCATTTGCCAACAACAAAAGTCATGCTTGTGCTATTATTGTTGCAGAAATAGGACACTTAAAAGTGGACATCCATCATGTAGACTTTGATTTTATTTTCATAATAATGACTTCCTCTTAACTTGAATAATGTGCAAACTGTTGCGTTATCTACGGTAGTGTAAAATTTACTACTTTTACATTTTTACGCTTCGCTTCCGTGCTTCATCCGTAAGAGCGGGGGTGGGGTGAGGGGGTATTTGTAGCTGTGGCTGAGTCAATGCAAGAGAAACACTGTCTTACAAAAATATATTTATTATTGTTGCATTTTTTTTTTAAACATAGCCATCCCTTTAAGTTTCGCTGGAGCAGTTTGCAGCCAAATGTGAAGCTTCTGGGATGAGAATCAGCTTCTCCAAATCTGAGACCATGGTCTTGAGTTGGAAAAGGGTAGAATACCTTCTCCAGGTCAGGGATGAGATCCTGCCCCAAGTGGAGGAGTTTAAGTTTCTTGGGGGTCTTGTTCATGCGTGAGAGAATGATGGATTGGTACTGTGATGTTGGCATTATACTGGTCTGTCACGGTGAAGTTCTTGATTTACCGGTCAATCTACGTTCCAGACCTCACCTATGGTCATGAGTAGGGCTGGGCAAATCAATTATTTGTTTAATCGATTAATCTAGCGATTATTTTTTGATGCATTGATTAATCAAGTGATTAATTTGTCAATTTAATTAGATTTTGATTAGATTCAACGATTGATTATTTTCCCATTATTTGACTTGTATAGCAGTTTGATTATTACTAATTTATGTATCTCAATGAAATAAATGCAAATTTCTTCATTTGAACACATTTTAATGAAAAAAATTCTAAAATAAAGTTGTTGTAATAGTAGTACAATCTCATGATAAAATTTAACAAAAAAATTAAATGTTCTGCAAACTATTCATATAAATCGTCCCGCAGCGCTCCTCCGGGAGAGCGGGGGTGGGGTGGGGGGTTGCACACGTTCCACTGCTGTTTCTCACCAGTATTAGCTGATGGAGGGCTCTAGTTTTGTTGTGCCGTTCGTGTCAGCGGACATGGTCGGGGAAGGGGGGCGGAACATGACGCTTAGCCTGGCAGGTGGCCAAGCAAAGCCTGGCAGGCCGCCAGGCTTATAAAGCGCTGGGGGAAACCCTGGTAATCAATTACGTCGCCGCGTCGTCCCAGCCCTAGTCATAAGCTTTTGGTAGTGACCGAATAAATGAGAATGCGGACACAAGCGGTCGAAATGAGTTTTCTCCGCAGGATGTCAGGGATCTCCCTCAGAGGTAGGGTGAGAAGCGTGGCCATCTAAGAGGGGCTCGTAGTAGATCCGCTGCTCCTTCACATCTGGACACTCTAGTTGAGGTGGCTCGGGTGAGGTTTTTCGGGCATGTCCAACTAGAATGAGACTAGGGCTGGGCGATATGACGATTTTAGACCGTTTTACGATCTACTTATCTGACGGTCTGTCATTTTTGAGAGACCTTTTTATCACGATTCACAGCTCTGCTGTTGAAATTCTGTCTCTGAATGAAAAGGGAACTTACCTCCGGCGAATGGCACGCCTTTGTTTGACCCTTAACCAATCAGAGTGAGTCATGGTAATATATTAGTGCCCCGCTTGTTTTCACCTGTGTGTGAACAAACATGGCTTCGGTCGCGGTTGAGAGTGACAACGAGGTTTTCGTTCCGAAGAGGAACGCCTCGTCCATTATATGGAACTGGTTTGGTTTTTCACCAGATGACAAAGAGCAGCGAAACGCCATTTGCAAGGAGAGCGTCAAGGCAAGTGATGGCAACACCACAAACTTGTTTAATCACTTGAAAAGAAGGCATCCCAAACAATACAATGAGAGCCAGCTGACAGCTAAAGCTAAAAAGCCTGCGGCTACAGCGGCTAGTGCTTCTTCCAGGCAGCAAACTCTAACAGAAACACAAAATTCACTCCCTACGACAGAGACAGCAGACGATGGAACAGAGTGACCGATGCAGTGACGTACCACTTGGTTAAAGATTTGTGTCCTGTGCGAACAGTAGGAGTGGGATTTAAGAAAATGATAAAAACATTGGATCTGCGCTACGAGTTTTCCAGCCACAAGTATTTTTCGAACACAGCCATTCCACGCATGTACGCTGAATGCAAAGTGAGCGTTGCAGAAAATATTCAGAATGCGCAGTTATTTGCTACCACAAGCGATCTCTGGTCCTGCCGCACATCAGAGCCGTATTTGAGCTTAACTATCCACTACATGAGCAACTGGGAGCTACATAGTATTTTGAACAAGTTAATGTTTGCACAATACGTTTGCAATTGACATGTTTGCACTTTAAATATGTTTACAATTTTAATTTATGTTAAGTTACTTGAAAAACGAGAAAAACTGATTTTTGTAATTGTTTCTCTCAGGGCTTTTATCATCTCTGGTGTGAGTTTAAAATATAAGTGTGTTAGCACTGTGTTGATTATCCCTTATATGAATAAATGTTTATTTATTCAATGTTTCTCTTCTTTAATACGCAATTGAAGTTATGCTATTCATGGATAAAAAATCGTGATAAAATCGAAATCGTGATAAAATATTGGGAAAAATCGTGATATTCTATTTTTGCCATATCGCCCAGCCCTAAATGAGACCCAAGGGAAGGCTCAAGACACGCTGGAGGAACTATGTGTCTCGGCTGGCCAAGAAACGTCTTGGGATTCCCCAGGAGGAGCTGGCCCAAGTGGCCGGGTAGAGAGAAGTCTGGGCCTCTCTGCTTAGACTGATGCCCCCATGACCCGACTCTGGATAAGTGGCTGAAAATGGTTGGATGGATTTTTTGAGCGCTGAATCTGCCGCTTAGCAATTTAACTTAAATTTGTTTGATTCCAAACACCAGACAACCCGCTGGTGCGTTCCCAACTGTAGGTCTTGTGGTAAAAATACATAAATAATGCATCGAAACATTTGGATCTAAAAGCAGCGATAAACAGCTTTCACACTTCAGCAATCATTTGGTCACACGGGCTGCATGGTGGCGCAGTTGTTATCACTGTTGCCTCGCAGCAAGAAGGTTGCAGGTTCGAAACTCGGCTGTGGCCTTTCTGCGTGGAGTTGCATGCCCTCCCCATGCATGCGTGGGTTTCCTCCGGGTACTCCGGTTTCCTCTACAGATCACAACATGTCCTACAAGTTAAAAATTGTACGTCGCTTTGGATAAAAGCATCTGCCAAATAAATTAACATAAACCATTATCTTGTATTCAAGGCCACTAACGTTAACCTCTTCCTCACAAATGCGCCTTCTCCTTTGGATTGTGTTTTAGCCAATAGGTGGCGCTGTTCTTTAGCTTTGACTTTTACACGCAGATGATTTCAGGCTATTAAACTATTCCTTGAGGAAATGTAGCTACTTCTTCCTGGTTGCAAAGGATGAGGGCGGACAGTAACAGGACTTAATCTGTATTTGAATTATTTTATTTGTAAAGAGTGACCCGTGTCTAAATAAAGTTAATATTTTTATCAAATTGCAGTTACAGGCTTTTAGTGCTCACTTTAAAACTTATTAAGGATGAATAAACTCAAGAATAATTAGGATGAATAAACGATTGATCAGGATGTTTCACAGCTTCAAAGTTGAGGTGTGTTAACACTAAGGGTTGGTGGTTATCACTGCAGCGCCCACTCCCCACCCCCTGCTAATTCCATTTGGTTTCTATATGGAGGGGGTCAAGCAGACTGGGCAAGATAAGAGAGAACATGCTGGGTCAATTTCCCCAAGTCCTGACATCCTTCTGGGTTCCCCGTAGAGCATGGTCAGCATCCACCAAAGTGAGACAGTGTACTTCTGACCTATATAGCATGACCATTACTCTGGTGGAGAAATGTCTGTAGTCAGAGAGGTTGGGTTCAACCACACATTCCATTTAAGTGATTAT